ACCCGAGTTCGATACCTGGTACCAAAAAATAAATAAATAAATAAAAATAAAAGATGTGACTGAAAGTGATTTCTTAAATTACCTGTAAACCATTTCCAAAAGCATAGACTGACTTTTTTGTAACTTTCATTATAAATGTAAACATATCTTCTTTAAAAACACAAGAAGTTAAAACAGTTTAAGTAAGTCTGCTGAGTAGTAACTTTTTCATCATGCTCTTTCAGATTGGAAAATAATCTAGGGTTTCCCCTCTTAAGATTTTGTGTCTTTGAATTTGCAGATATAAAATAAGCTGACAATCTGTCAGAGCATATGAGAGCCTGTTTAAAGATGAACCCAGGGAATTTAAATGGCTTTCATCAGATCCTTAATTCAATCATCTCTAGAACTATACAAGTAAATGTTCATTTTTTTGAATGATTACAGCCCTGAAGAAGTTCCAAGAGGAAGAGCTACTTGATGCCCCGGAAGCACTTCAGCAGCTGGTGCCTATCCAAGGGGTCCAGGCTGAGAAAAAGGAGCCTGAAAATGAGTTGAAGGATCTTAGCATCCTGCCTCTGTATCCCAGCTACAAACCCTCCTGAGGACGTGGCACAATGCTACCAGTAATGCTGAATCATTCCTTTTGAAGGTACCTTTTTAAAATTTGTATGTAAATATCAACCATTTTGAAGTAAGAGGAAAAAAATTTAAATTTCAAATCTAGCGTATTTGATAGATGCATATTTTTAGCTGTCAAGTTATTTTAGAATCATGATTGTTCTCCAAATAGTGCTATGGCCTGGATGACAGACACAAAGCACTGATTTATGCACATCCCAAACACACAATCAGCCAGGTTCTGAGTGTAACTGGGCAGGTGGGCCCCTCAACCCCAGCAGAGACAGCATCATTTGTGAAATCATAAACCCACAGTCGAGGATTCTAGCAGACAAGATGTTTTGTCCAGCTGCCCAGAGGATAATAAAAAGAAGAACATTATCATGATGTAACAAGTCACACTCTTTTCAGCATCTTGCTGTTTTCAAGTGTCTTCCTCTGTGGACAGAAGTACAACAGTCACACACCTAAGCAAAGGCAAAGCCCTCAACAGTATCAGGCCAGCGCAAAAAACAACTGGGCCTAGGGAAGAAACAACTACAAAAATATTGAGGGGCCGGGGATTTGGCTCAGGGGTTCCGCCACCTTCCTTGCAAGCACAAGTCCCAAATTCAATCCCTGGTACAAAAAAAAAAAAAAAAAAAAAAAAAA